TACATACGTTTTGACTAAAACATGGCTCTGATTTACAGGCAACAGCTTGGTGCGACAGTAAGTGCTTCATAAAGCCATGCCTGTCATCACCTTCTGCTAACATAATTTCCACTGATTGCAGATCTTTATAACAAAATGTTCTTCCTGGTTTGCTTAGGGTGAAGAAACTGAAGGAAACATTTGCTTTTATACAACTATTGGACAAAAACATGAGTAACCTTCGCACCTGGTTGGCCCGGATTGAGTCTGAGCTTTCCAAGCCTGTTGTTTATGACATCTGTGATGACCAAGAAATCCAGAAGAGACTGGCAGAACAGCAGGTGGGAAATAGCAGCAGCCAGAGTAAATGAGCTAAAACGCTGCTGATTACAATTGGTCCTGGTTTAAAATCACCTGTTTCTTGTCTTTAGCAAGGCCTTCTGTTTGCTTTTCATGGCATGTTCCTGCCAAGATGCGTTACATGGAAAATTTTTATTTGCTTGCTCTAATTTCAGTATTGTGTTGACTTACCCCCACTTCTCCTTCCCCCCTCAACCCGAGGAAAACATGCAAAATACAAACAAAAGCATTTTTACATTTGATAGTTTGCTCAGTTAAGTACAGCAGACTTCATAAGGGCTAGGGAGGGCTCAGACAGCAGGCAAAATCCATGGGGATGACTCAGGCTGACAAGGCGTGAATGCTGGGTCTCCTGCAAACTGGCTGTGAGAGATTTAAGTGCTGTGATTTGATGTATTACCCTCACTAGCTCAGTTCTCTTCCCCTCCTTGCAGACAGGAGAGCAAGCTTGGCAGAGAAGGATGTTTGAGCTTTGGAGGGTGGACTTGTACAAACATACCTTTGACTGAGGCCTGATCCACTAGGCAGGCTCTGAAGATTCCCTCAGGGTTGGGTGAGATGGTGCGTGAATCCTGCCGAGGCCTACGTGTGAGCCAGCCTAGCACCGTTGGGTGTTGGTTGAGTGCGTGTAGGCATTTATACGAGACAGTGACTTGCTAGGGGGATCTTAAGGATCTGTGCTAGTTTTAAGTGCTGGAGATAGCAAGGATTTGGCACAGCTGAATGTGCCAGCTATCGTAGCCAGAGAAGGAAAAGGAACTTCTCCAAAGCACAGACTTGCTGGTGGAATCAGCCTTTGCTCAGAGCTGTGCTATAAGTCTGCCCAGGTTCAAAGTGTCTCCCTGGGAAGGCTGAGAGTGACTATGGCTGTCATCTGGCCTTTGTGTTAAACAAGAATATTTGCCCTAAAACTGAGGATCAAGAATAAAGCTGTGAAGCATGGAAGCTTTATGGTATCTGCATTTAAGAATACCTATGGGTGTTCTTCCCATCCTTCCCATCTTCTCTCTCTGGTTGCTGCTTTTGTGTCTAAGGAAAGATCCCTCAGTGACCCAGACCTGAGAGCTGTGTTCTCTGCTGGTTGATACAGCTCTCCATCCACTCGTGTCCCAGACATCGTGGGAAGGGCCAGCTCCTCTGTGACAGGAGTGGAGGTGGCTCCCACCAACTCCGCTGCAGGAGTTGGTCAAACACCAGAAGCCTTGGCCCAGTGCCTCTGATGGTTTCATCTGCGCTGTGAATGATCATGTAAACCACAAGGAAATATTTTCTCCCCATCCAAACCTTTTGCGTTCTCAAAGACTGAGATAAATTGCCAGGCAGAGAAGAACGTGGGGCACAAAGGAATTGTGTCCGAACTAGTTTATTTTTGTTACGAGCATTCAAGCTTCAGCTCGCTGTAGGAGCCATCATTTGCTGCTCAGAGCTACTTACGGGTTTGTTGTTTGGATTCTGTTTCAAACACAGACCTCTGGGCACCTCTAGACTCCTTCTACTGTAACCTTTTAGCAGGCTGAGTGTGAGAAGACTGTGCTGACTAGAAAGACCACAGTAAAAAAAAAGCTTCTTTCGCCCTGCGTTAGAGAAACCTTTATCTGAATGCGACAAGTAAAGAGATCTTTCCTGGCTTTATGCAAACAGTTATTTCAGCAAGAGCAGAGTGATGGTGAGAAATGTACCCTAAAGGCTTCTTTTCTTTGACATCCATGACTGGAAAAGCTTTACCTGTTCATTCTTGAATAATGACATTTAAAAGCATTGTGCATCCACGGAGATGTTTTATGGCATGTTTGTTCAATTAAAGGATGAAGATTAAAACATGAATAATACTGATTTTAAGATTTCAAAGCTGTTTCACTAATGCAGAAGTCTAGCAGCGTGTAGTCTTGTTCAAGTTTTCTGGGCAGTGCTGTGCAGAGTTGAAGGAAAAGTACCTTTTTGGGCTCAGTGTATGTTCCTGGCCCTGTTGCTTAGTTTGTTGTGTTTATCTCACTGTAATACAGTCAGGTCATCTGGAATAACAGCTCGGAAAACAGCAAGGGTTCTGCCGAGGGTTATTCCATGAACCCAGGCATGACGAAAAGTGATGAGATCGTGTCAGCAGCATTACCGTAGTGCAAGTAGCATGGATTTGTAAGCTGTGATCCAAATGCTCATTTTCACTAATACAGCTGTAAATTCAGTGTAATTCAATGAATTCAGAAGAGTCTCTCCAGGTACCAGTAGTGGGGTAGAGCCTGCTGTCAGATGTAGAGCCTGTGTTAAAAAGACACTGCTGCCTCTTGCTCAGAAAACAGCTGTGAATCCTTAATAAGCTGTCAAAAATTATGTTGGGTCTGCTTCTGGCAGTCTCCCACCTCTGTAAAGATTTCGGCTTCTACATTCCTTAAAGCTCTACATTACCACAAATCCCACAAGCCAAATTTTGACCATTTATGGCTCAGCCCTTTCAGGTACACATGTAACAGTGCTGAAGACTGCCACTGGGTGATACTCAACTCCTTGCAGCTTGTTGACTTCAGGGAAGACCTTCCTTCAATTCCTTTTGTATTTACTACAAGCTGTGTCTGTTCTGGGTTTTTTTTGGTTTTTATTTTGTTTTGGTTTTGTAAGGCTAGAGCAAAACCAGTTCTGCTTCATCTGTTTGCTGAAATCAGTAATACCATTTAATGGGAGTTCCTGTTCACTACTGTCAGTAAAATATTCATTTGTGTTTGTTGCTGTAATGTTATTCGAGCGAAAGTCTCCATATCCTTCATTAGGAAAGCCAGAAATGGGTTGAAAAAATGGAAATGTAGTGGACATTGTAATTTCTTTAATATTTACAGTTGGTAGCATTGTACAGAGCTGCCTTTTCTATAAGAAATATTTAGATAAGGCTTTCTTTTTCTGTTAATCAATTACATTGACTTTAAGAGTACAGAATGACAGGCCAGACTATGATGGAGATGCAGGCTCTGGAGAAGAAACCTGTAGTGTAGATTAGACAAACGGTCTTTGCAAGACCCTTTAAAATAGTCTGTGAAAACAGGAGCTCTACAAGAAGGAATAAGAAAAGTAGTGTTAACACCAGCCACTTGTGTGCTGTGTTTCTGTTTTGTGATATCAGCCTGTGATCATACAGTCAGTAAAGTACACGAACTGTATTGCGAGTTCTCTGTCGAGTCTTACAGTGTAGTAAGCTGATAGGAGACACTGTCATCTTGTACTGTCAATAAGTATGTGTTTACAGTATGCGTAAATTTTGGATTTTGAATGCCCATTAAAATTGTCCAGACTGTTAATGAGAAGATTGAGCTTTCCCTGAGAAACCAAAGCTGGACAATCCCTTTTTGCATGGCAGTTCTGTCCTGACCTGTCAGCCTGTCATATGCACAGCTCATCCTGCAAGTCTGTTTTCTAAAGCTAAATAAGCTTTTCCTGACACACAAATTGCTCTTTCCCCATCCTCTGCAGCATTTTGAAAGGGTATGTCTGAAGTCTAGCCGCGCGTGTTTCCTTCTACTCAAGCTATTCTTTTGCCAATGGCAGGATCTGCAACGAGACATAGAGCAACACACTGCAGGGGTGGAATCCGTGTTTAGTATTTGTGAAGTCCTGCTACACGATTCAGATGCGTGTGCGAATGAGACAGAGTGTGACTCCATTCAGCAAACTACTAGGAGTTTGGACAGACGGTGGAGAAACATTTGCGCCATGTCTATGGAAAGGCGAATGAAGTAAGTCTCTCTTTCTTACCCCTACTAAAGAAGCCTGTGGCAGCATTTTGAAGAAGCACTGTAGCTTTTTGCCTCAAGCCAAACTTTGAAAAAGGAAAGAAATCCAAATAAAAAGTTAGTTTGTGATAAAACCTTTCCATTTTTGCATCTCCCTCTCAGAATTGAGGAAACCTGGCGCCTATGGCAGAGGTTTTTGGATGACTACTCTCGCTTTGAAGATTGGCTAAAATCATCTGAAAGGACAGCAGCTAAGCCTAATTCTTCAGAGGTTTTGTACACACATGCAAAGGAGGAGCTGAAGAAATTTGAGGTGAATTTTTTAACTTCATTTTTTTTCTGCTCAGCAGCAGGCTGAATGGTCAGACTGCTAAATACTTACTGTCTATGTGAAATGCCTGGATCACTGAAAAACACCAGTTAGGCAGTGGTGATATAGAGAATAGAAATAATGTGGCCAGTGTGTGGCTGCTAGGTATCTGGCTGATTTATTTGTCTCCAGAATTGTTTTTTTAATGTGGAGAAACCAATGTTCTGAACTGACAAGTTCCTGCTTATAAGTTAAAGATCTGCTTTTTGTAAGCAGGAGACCTTTGTGGGTTGATATTTTTTTTTTTTCTTCCTTTGCCTAATGAGGTAAGTCTGAGCAGATTATTTATAATATGGGTCCTTCTCTAGATTTAATTTTGTAGTTGGAAGGCCTGTTTTTAAGGGGATACCGTCCTCTCTTGGTGGATGGTATCGTCCAGATCCTTTCTGTTATCAACAAGGGAACTGAGTTCCTTGATTTGCCTTGCAGGCATTCCAACGGCAAATTCATGAACGACTCACTCAGTTGGAGCTGATCAACAAACAGTACAGGCGCCTCGCCCGCGAGAACCGCACCGACTCAGCCAGCAAGTTGAAGCAGATGGTACACGAAGGCAACCAGCGCTGGGATAATCTCCAGAAACGAGTCGCTGCCATTCTGAGGAGGCTCAAGGTAATTGCACAGTGGGGTGAAAGAGTGAGGAGCGCTTGCAAGTTTCTGTAGGAATTACCCAAGGGCAAAACACATACTGGAGCAACTATCTGGTGTTGGTTTGTGTCTTGAGTTACCAGTGTAGGAGAACAGCTCTGGGAAGGTCACCAAGTACATGGCATAAACATGTCCTTGGTAGATGGGTTCTTGATAGTTGAAGAAGCGTAAGGGAAGAATGGGTGCAAATTTTGGTAGGTTTGTTGCAGGCCTTACTGCTCCTATCCCACTCTCCTGTTACCCAGTTTTGTAAGGGGTGGATGCGTTCATGCACTTGCAGCTTTCCATAAGTGAGAGGCAGAGAGACAAAAGGGCCCCAGTGCAGATACGGTTTGGAGTTTACAACGCGGCTCTACTTTATGCCAAGTTATGATTCACCTACAAGGCTTTAAACATGGAGATGTGACAGAGAGACGTGCTGCTGTCACCAGCTCCTGCTGTGCTCTCTGCTTGACAAAGAAACGTCGAAGACTGTATTTGTGACGCTTCAAAGAAGTGTCCTGCTTGTCGACTTAAACTGATCTCTAGGCAGATACTCTGTGCTGTGCCCGGGGGAAAACTTGTCACTGCCTGATGTTTAAATACAGCAGTGCTGCAAGCAACCAACAGGGAAAGTGATTAGGTCCCAAAAGTAAGTGGATGAGGCTGTGCGAGTGCTGATGGGGTTTGATCTGTGCAGTTCGGAGGTGGTGTGTTTGGGGTGGTGCATAATGCCCTTCCTGAACAGTAAATCCACTGCAGAGAACTGGGGCACTGCAAGCTGTGTGTCTGTCAGCAGCTTCTGTGGGAGATGGCAGCAGAGAGTGCTCCTCCTGGCTTCCACGCCGAATGATACATTAATTGCACTGGCATGGTCATCCATGATCCAGCTTCTCCATTGTTTTACTGATTTTAATGTCATAGTTTTAATTAATTAGAGACGGAGCTTGCTTCCTTTGTCTGTCTTTCTTCTAAATTTAGAACAAATTAGATGTTAAACCTGAGTCCGAATAACTGTTACACTGGTATAATGATGTGGGAGAAGGTATACAGTGTGGAAGCAAGAATATAATGTTGTAGAAGCATCTGGCACTGCTGAAGTTTTATTCTCTCTCCCATACAAATAGTGTACCAACATTGGACACGTTGTTCCAGCATCACTGCAAGAAGGGGACAGTTTTTATACGTGGCATGCTGCCATTTGTGCCCTGAAGGCCTTTAAGGTGAACAGCAGCTTTGAAACAAACCACAGTTTTCAGACAGCTCCTGTGACCATCTTTTTTAGTAGCTTATAACTTATAGACTTATAACTTACAGACTTAAAACTTGTAGACTTATAACACTGGCTCCTTTCTTCCTATTCAGCACTTCACCAATCGGAGAGATGAGTTTGAGGGGACGAGGGAAAGCATCCTTGTTTGGCTCACAGAAATGGACCTCCAGCTGACAAACGTGGAGCACTTCTCAAAAAGTAACTTTGATGACAAAATGCGCCAGTTAAATGTACGTATCCTTCTAAAGCAGTTGTTTAATATAGCCCAGCTGATCCTATAGGGCTGCCCTCTACTTTTCTGGAACTTCACAATAGTCAATAGATCTCTGTAGGGCTGTATTTGTTTTCAGCCACCAGTAAAGTGTTAAGACTTATCCTCTGAATCAAGATTAAACTGTACAGTATTTAAATTCAGATTCAGCGTTCAAGCTCACTTCTATTCTGCAATTTTCTCCTAACACCGAGTGTCAGTGACAGTGGGATCAGGCCTGGAAAGGAACACATGCAGGTTAACAGTAAAAGCTACATTCCTAAATTCAGGCGTTCTTTTCTGGGGAGAATTTTTTTTAATTGGCATTAAGGTAGGATCTCTCCTCTGAACACATTGTTTGTAGCTGGGACTTTAGAACAGAAATAAGACAGCAGGCGTGTGCAGTGCTTCTAAAGAACATACTAGTTCTTTGCTACCTGCCCATATGCTTATTCCTCCTTTCCCCCTGCACTGTTAATTGTTTTCAGATGTAGATTTACTGTTGTGTAGGCTGGAGGCCCAACCAGCCAGATTTCCTTGCTACTGAGAAAAAGATTGTGTGTACCCAACAGAAAAATAAACTCTGATTAGCTGAACTCTCATATCATGATCCCCTGCAGGCTCAGGACACTGCAATGATACTGATGTACACACGGGTGGAAAATGCCACTTCATTTGGAACTGTACTCCTGCTAATAAAACAAACCTCTGGATCGCTTGAGTAAAAGATATTTGCCAAATGAAATTAGACAACAGTGTCAGTTGCTGCTTTTCTTTCACTGCAGTGAGCAAGAAGGATAAACGTTAGGCTGGAAAGGGATGTTGCAGAATTAATTATTTTTCTTGTATGTTCCAAATAGGGTTTCCAGCAAGAAATAACACTAAACACCAATAAGATTGATCAGCTAATCGTTTTTGGGGAGCAGTTAATTCAGAAGAGCGAACCTTTGGATGCTATCCTGATTGAAGATGAATTGGAAGAACTTCATAGATACTGTCAGGAAGTTTTTGGGCGAGTGGCCCGGTTCCATCAAAGACTGACTTCAAGGCATCCTGTAAGAAGCAACAGTTGTTTTGATGCTTTGGCAAGATTTTGGTGTTTGAACTGCAGTGCTCATTGCTTCTCCCTAGCAGCTTGACTTGAGTGGTTTGAGCTCAAAGGGGTGTCACGAAGGTACACTAAGACTAATCCAAATGAAGGACAAACTCAAACAACTTTATTCCACAAAACAGCCAAAACCACACAACAGAAACAATGAGAAACAGGGGTAAACCAAAAATCAGTCAACACTCCGGTAACATCTAACACATAACAGATTCAAGGGGTCAGTCGGGATATTGTTGCTACACATCAACACACACAGGAACAGTGATCCAAAGTGCACGCACACGCTCACTCACAAGGGGAAACTCTCTCTCGTGGGTACCCAGAAGATGTAATCGCTCACCCAGGGGGAAAGGACAAGGACTCACTCAAGGATATGTCCAGAAGAAGCCCCCCACCAAAAGGAGGTGAGGGCACTCAGTCCTGGGAAGTTTCCTCAGGCGGTGTCCCAACCCAAGGGGAGAGGTTTCGAACACAGACCCGCAGACCACTTTCTTGTGGGTACCCTGAATAGGGAACAGTATACTCTGTTTTTCACTGGGAACATTTAGCTGATTTTCAGTTTGCTTTGGCTCAAAAAGAAAGAACATCTATTAAAAAGCCAGGTAGAGGAAGTAGCATGATCATCTATGAGTAGCTGTTCACCCTTGCCTGAGCATCATTTCATTGCTGACCTGTGCAGTCCATGTGGAAGTGGGTACCCCTCCCTGCAAACTAGAAAGAGATGTTATGGTGGTGGTTGAGTGTCTCGAAAGAGCAGAGGTAGCTGCTGCTGTGAGGATTGTTTTGGCAAGAGGAAGGAGGCAGAAATGATGCTTCTCTTTAATTTTAGGCACATGGTCTTCGATTACTGCAGCTGACCGCAAAACAGTCCCCGGTAGTACCGTGTGGCTCAGTCATTAGCTCATTCAGCAGTGTATCTACTGTAAATCTTTTGTAAATTGTAGATCTATTGTAAATCTTATTAATATGCAATAATTGTTTTTTATTTTTAGAGATTGGGTGATGAAAAAGAGACCTCTGAAAATGAGACAGATCCAGAAGACTCCAGAGAAATCCAGAGTGATCCCTGGCATAAGAAGGCCATCAGTGAGGGGCCCTCTTCACCACAGTCCCTTTGCCACCTTATGCCCCCTACTCAAGGTCATGAAAGATCAGGCTGTGAAACCCCTGTCAGTGTTGACTCCATCCCACTTGAGTGGGATCACACAGGTGATGTGGGAGGTTCTTCCTCTCATGAAGATGAAGAAGAAGCGACATACTACAGTGCTCTGTCAGGTGAGAACCAACGGCCAGCTATTTGTTTTGACATGGACAACTGCAGGATGTCCCTGTGTGGGAAGGGAGGGGGACTGAGGTCTTGCTCCCATGTTGTTGGTTGGTTTTCAAGTACTATTAGTAGATGTGAGCAGTCTCATCTCTTAGATGTCTTGATGAAGGGAATGATACTGTCTAAACCAAGCTTATGCTTTCAGAAACATAAGATTTTTGGAAACCTTACTTGTTAAGAATGTTTGATGAAAATAGTGCTAACAACTTATTTTGTTCTTTGTCTTTGCTGTCCCTCATTGTTTCAGTTGTTTTAAATAGTTGGAAAATACTGCCTAGTGAGGAAAATGACATTATTCTTTTTTCAGATGTAGAAATCACTGAAAATCCTGAGGCATATCTTAAAATGACCACAAAAACTTTGAAAGCATCTTCTGGTAGGCACCTGCTAATGCATGTGTCTGAACATGGCAATCTCCCTGTGCTGCACGCTATATTCCTCAACCTCTCTCATATGTAATGTCTGACTTCCTGCCTTGTGTGGACACCATGTCTCATCCTGCCATGGTGTTCTGACGCTGCAGTATTCACATGTACATTACAAAGCAGTCAAGAACATACCATTTAGATTTTGCCTGGTAAATGCCAAGGTGGTTGATGTGCATTTCATTGTATTGATCGAAAGTCTTTTGGCCCTTTCTTGGTGGTTTGCTCTGGGTAGTATCCCTTTTTTGGTTGTTTCTAATTTCCATTGCATAATTACTGAAGGAAATAGTTCCAACTCTGCAAGTATTTTTTGTGTTTTGTGCTTGACAGAACCGCGTGTGTCCTGTCTGTTAAATCCAGACCAAACATTCTCCAAATCAGGACAGGTCTATACTTGTCCCTGCTGAAATGCGTTACAGATGTGCGATAGTATTGTTGAGATGCAAATTTTCCAAAACCACAGTGCAGCCTTTATCTTTGATTTTTTGAATACTCACACCTGTGTTCAAGCATTTTCCAGAAGAAAACAGAATGTCCCGTAACTGCATGGCTCTCATCTCATTACCTTTGAAACACTGTTGATGTTTTGCAAATGTGCATGCTTTGCAAGGAAAGCTGCAAAACTGTCATTTTTATGCCATAACTTGATGCCATTTTATTCAGAGCGCTTTCTAACTTAATACAAAGCAACAGCTTCCTTGTGGAGATGGGATTTTGCACTTATGGCATATGGTTTTGGTTTTATTTGTTTCAGGAAAGTCTGTTTCAGAAGCTCATCCTTGGCATTCTCCAGATAGCCCAGTCTGCAGGAAACACCGATACAACCAGGCAGAGATGGCTGGAAATGTGTTGTCTGGTCCAGAGACAAGTACTCCCTATAAGCCAGATTATGTGAGTTGGAGGTTCTGTGGGCACTGAACCTATAGTACACAGTCTGTTTGTTGTTCCTGTGTGACTCCATCCTCTTCCCTCCACCAGCACCAAGAAAAAGATCAGTCACGGGGGGAATGTTCACTTTATGCAAACTTAGACATTATTTCTGGTGGCTCAGGTAACCAGTGAGAGTCTCTACCCACTTGCTAGAAAAGCTTCTTGAAAGCAATTCAGAACAATCATGTTAGGCTCCTGATCAGAGTCGGTGTCTCGAAGAACTTAACTTCCTCTGTTGTCATAGGGCAAGGCTAGGAGAATTCACCCCCGCACCCCTGCACAAGGAAAGGGTGTGAATACCGTCCCTTGATACTTACTGACATATCTCCCTTTCGTAAGCAGACTAGTTTGAAGGGTCCTTTTCTAGCATGCAACCCACCGCTTAATCTGCTTCTGGGCACTGCAAAATGTGCCAAAATGGCTATTGTTCATTGGTACCTCAGCCTCGGTGGCTGGTTGCCAGCCGTGGCTTCGCCAGCAGCTGCCAGGCTCAGTGGATCTGGCCCGGTTGTCAGCACTCTTCCAGGCACAAAATGGTACTGGTACCCGGTGGCTTTTGTCATCATTAATCCAGTCTTAGAGCCTTAGCGTCAATATTGCCAAGACCCAGAATCCAACAAAGAGCGTCAGCAAATGTACATTGTCTGGTATGCGTAGTGCAAAAGCAATTAATTTGCCATGTCCAGTCTTGTAATAAGTAGCGTCACTGTGATGTGTGTTTGTTTACTGAGAAGGCACAGAGAGCCAGTATAAACTGTTAGCAAAGATGCAGAAGCCTGGTGCTAAATCTGACACGCAAGAGCTCAGCGGCAGCCCAGCCACCCCAAAGCAACACAAAGGAGGCTTGACCTTTGAGGGCTTGTTAACCTGCAGGGCTCACCCACCCAAATGTCATTCCAGGTGGAGCAGCTCAGCTCTGCAAGCAGCGGCAGCATCAACAAGGAGAAAATTACATCTGCTAACATGAGTGATGAAGAACCCCAAGACGAACAAGAACTTGTGAATATAGCAGCTGCAGAGAAGCAGCCAGGTACAGGGCATTAGGAGCAGTTTTGGTGCTGTGGTGTTTGTCTGGTGACTCTGGGGGGAGACAAAGCAGAGGTGGCACAAAGGCAGCACATTTGCCTTGGGATCAAAACCAAAGTAAACCGCTATCCTCTAAATTAATATATTTTGTTAAGATTTGCTGAGCTGCCTTCTCACCTGGTACTGTCCAACCCGTGTTTGCTGTTCTAAGCTTTGACATTTTCTGCCAGAACTGAGATTTTTATCACTCATAATATACTTCTATCTCTTTGTTGGTTGGAACGAATGGGAACAATTTCACTTTTGTGTGATAATGAATACTTCAGAGACTTTTAATCAGATTTCAAACCGAAGAAGTGTGTCTCTTGGTCTAAAGATTGCTGTAGCTCGTTTTCTCGGTTATTGGTACTCCATATAACAAGATGCTATAGCTCCCATTTACAGAAATGTATTGTCAAAGCAGGTAATGTATTCTGTTCTTCACTGTGGTCCTTTCTTCCAAATAGGCCAACAAGCTGGTTCTCTTGACCTTTTAGGACGTCACTGCAGGTTTCAGGTGCTTGAGATTGTAAAAGAACACATCTGTACTGCAGTCACAAAAGCAAATCAAGTGATAAAAAGACAACTGCAGCTATAGGCACCAGCTGACTTAGTTTGTGTCTCTGGTCTCACAAATGGACCAGGGTTGAGTCCCATACATGGATGAACAGGAGAACCTCTGAGAAGGGCTTAGATGTGCTTCTAGAAATACTGTTAGTGATTGCACAGGGGGCATCTCCATTTCCTTTACCACAGAGTTGATGAAACATAAACCCAGGTCCTAACTGCTGGATCATATTTTGTCCCATGATGAATTTTGGTGTCTGCCAAATCTCAACTGGGCACACTGAATTCCGTCTCCTTAGAGTTGCTCTATCCTTTCAGGTGGACTAAACCATGTTCAATTAATGTGATTAAAGTCCTGTGTAGCATTACTATGTGGATAACTTGACTAGTAATATGAACTTCCAGACTGCAGAATCTCAAGAAAAAATGTGTCTGGATAACAGCAGTACATAGTAGCGATTGTTTGGCCTTGAGTAGATTGGAGAATAATTTGCTTGTAAAACTCCTTGCGTCTGTTTTACGCACTCTTCACCTTACTGAAGATTTTTTTGAAATGTTTGTTGTTGTATCATTTGTAGGCATTATTGATAGGTGGGAGCTCCTCCAAGCTCAAGACCTCAGAAATAAACTTAGGATGAAACAGAAATTGCAGCAGTGGCAGCAGCTGAACTCTGATCTCAGTGACGTGTCTGCTTGGCTTGATAAAACTGAGGAAGAGCTGGAAGAGCTGCAAAAAGTGAAACCTCCAACCAGCATGCAGGCGTTGGAACAAAGGGTCAAGAAATTGAAAGTAAGTTATGGCATACTGAGAACTGGGATTTCAAGATGCTCATGCTCTTTATCCTTGTCTTTGCACTCCTAGGGTCTGTCAGCAGCAGGAATGCATATGCCACAGAGGAGCAACGCTGTTCTCAGCTAAGAGGACTAAAGAGGGTAGTTAAGCAAGGTGCTTCTGTCTTCCTGTGCAGAGATGCGCAGGCAATATGCCTGGGTACAACAGGCAGCCAGGCTGAAACAAAAACTTCTCCCTTTCTGTTTTCTTGCCGAGACACTTTATTCTCATTCAAACAAAACATTCAGCCCCAAACTTCTCTTTTTAGGCCTTTTGGTTTAGGAAACAAACACAGAAAAAAGCTAAATAATGAAGGCTTAGACTCCCCAAATGCCTAGGGTCAGGCCTTGTCTTGGGGGGGCAGTGGGTATTCTGAGCAGTGATACCCTGGCATTTTTTTCCTTGTTCTGTGCCATACCGCTCTATGCAAACCAGAAACAGATTGAAAATTAGCCGGGTCTACAGGCTGCAAAGTCTAGGCTAGCTTTTTTTTTTTCAATTGAATTAAGGGAGGGTGTGGGAGGTTGTAGCTCAAACAGGGAGACTGAGAAAGAACTGCTCTAAAGCTGTGTTTTTTAGCAACGTGGTGTTTGCAAAAAGTCTTAGCTCCGAATAGTACCTTTGTCCTATAGTTAAGGATACATCATTTCAAACCATGCGGTTGCATCTTTTCGCTTAGCAAATGCAGATTTCTCATCAAATAGAATGTATTAGTTAAAAATGAGAAACAAAATAAATTCAGTCTCTGCTGATCTTCAGCCAAGTAATAGAACGGTTCAAGAAGACAATAATGTGAACGTTTGTCAGCATGTGTGCTCGTGTTATGTTGCCTGCTATGACTCTAAGCTTCCATAAATTACGTAGGACTAAGTCAGGTATGCAAGTTGAACCAGCAGGTTACCAGGGCACCTGTAAGCACTAGGTCCCTAGGACTTAGGTAACAAAATGCCTCAGGTTGAACTCTAAGAAAGCAAGTGTTCCTGACACTTGTGGGAGTGCAAAATCCCTGTGTACTCACCCTCCTGCCAGCAGCCTCGTATGGAGTCACCCAAATCCTGAGGTTACTGGGTAGCCAATCAGTTTGGCATCACACTCAGGATGGTGCTCACAAACAAGATGCTCCACAGGACAGAGGTGGGATTTCTTAGCCACGTTGAGAGTATGCTTAAGCCTGCATGTCCTTGAGTAGTCATTAGGCCAGGGAGAGTGACTCTGCACTCCAGTGTGTGACTGATTCCATGAGCCAGCCTGGCTTAGGCACCAGGCGCGAGGAGAGGTTCGGTGATGCCTCGCAAGTGGAGGGAGGTGCTTCCCTTCCAGCTGGAGTTGGGTGTCTGACTTCTTCAAGGAGCAGAGCTTCACTTCTTCTCTCTTCTGCATTTTCTTAAGAGGAGTCCAGCTGGCTGTAAATCCCCTTTTCAGACAGCTTGGCGTTCAGTGGGTGTCTAAAAGAGCCAGCATGCTCTTAAGACGTGAATTTCATGAGATGTCAGGACATCACAGTTGCCCTGGGTAAGGATAAAGCCAGTCTGGCTGCAGACTGGCTTACCAGTGTTTAGAAGGCTGTGATGGACCATTTGTATTGTCTGATATTGAAAGAAACTTTGTTGCTTGAAGGAGGGAGACAGGGTTCTTTGTTGGGCAAGATGTAATTTAGACTATCAGTTTTCAACAAGTGGGACGCAGATCTTGAGAATATATAGATTGACACTCTTCGTTACAAAGGCTGCTAAGAAAAGCCATCTGAGCCGTGTTGATTGCAGGACTCATCCTGCAGCTCTTACTTTTCTACTGTAAGAGCCCACAACTGGAAAAGGACTGAGTACCCTTGATTCAAACTGTAAACTTGTAGAGGGGATGAGGTATTGTTTGGCATTCATTTTTTTAAAAACACCTTCAAAAATACAGGCTCTACCGTAACATAAAGGTGGTTAGGGGATACACCGTGACTTTGCAAATTCCATGTTATTTCCCCCTGCAATTTGAAGGGAGAGGAGGAAGGCAGGCAGGGCTGCCATCCGGGGGGACCTTGACAAGTCAAAGAAATGGGCTGACAGAAACTCTGACTGCAGAGAAGGAAAAGAATTTCTCACAACAGGGTGGGCCGGTGTGGGACCAGGGGCCCAGAGGGGATGGGGAATCTCCATCCTGCGAGATACTCAGGATTTGACTGGATGAGGCTCTGAGTTTGAAGTTGACCCTCCTTGGGCAGGAGGATGGAGTACAGACCTCCAGATGTCCCTTTCAGCATTATTCTAGGATTCTGAGGCAGCAAAGCCTTTTTACATCAAGAGGAAATACCATGGGATGACCTGTGGGAATATTTGTCCAAATGTCGGGGAAAGAGACAGCTCAGAGGAATGAAGGGCAGATGTGAATTAAGTCATAATGCCTGTGACTTAGGGAGAAGCACAGGCCCAACCAGATTTGTTTTCTTCAAAGCAAAGAAGGTTTATGCTTTTTTTTTTTTTAAAAAAAAAAAAAGGCCACCTACCTTAATATGTTCCTTAGCAGTATCTGAAAAGCCACCAGATTCAAATAGCTTTCCCCAATACCTGTGATTCTTTTGAGGATGTAGTTTTACTGTAAACAAACAACATATTTTTCATCATTCATAGAAGCTCCTAATCTGCTTTTTCTACCAGGACCTGCTTAAAGCATTTGATAACTACAAGGCAGTGGTGCTTTCCATTAACCTGAGCAGCAAAGAGTTCCAGAAAGCAGATAGCACAGAGTTCAAAGAGCTTCAGAACAGGCTTCGGAAGGTGAACTTGCATTGGGAGAAAGCAACTCATGCGTTGGACAACTGGAGGAAAGGTTTACAACAAGCCCTACTGCATTGCCAGGTGCATACCACGTGCCAGCTTACAAGGGAAAACTGCTTTTTATGATGCTGCTGTGGGGTAGATAGGGGGAGAGGGGAGAGGGGTAGTTCCTGCACGTTAGTGGAATGGTTGCTCAGAATCCGAGACACTTAATTATCTTATAAACTTGACTCTGTTGTGTTCAAAGGGTTTGGTAAAAATCTCTGTGAACTGCATAATACCCTTTTATTACATAGGTGGAATAGTTTAACTAGGTTGCTGTAGCCTCACTAATCGTAAATTTGTTTTTGGCTGTGTCTGACCTGGGCTGGTCATTGTGTTTGTAGGCAGCGCCAGGTGAAGGCACTGCAAAAGTGGTTTTTGTCTTATGTGCAAATCTTCTGTTTCTCTAGGACTTCCATGATCAGAGCCAAAAACTAATCCTGTGGCTAGCAAGTGCTGATAGCCGAAGGAATGAAGCACAAATCACAGATCCAAACGCTGACCTCGGTACAATACTGGAATGCCAAAAGGAGCTAATGGTAAGTGTAGTCTTAACTACAACACCTCAGCTCTTCCTGTGAGTCAGCAGCTCTCGCCACAAAATGAAAAGCAATATGTTTATTTCTCAAGATGTCTGTAGCCTGTCCTTGAACCTGCTGTATTCAGGCACGTGGCAGGTTTCTGAAATGGACTAAGATACTGCCTATATGAGGCATTGTTTTCGTAATTACTCATCATAATGAAGTTCCTTATGAACAGTCTTGATGCTGGAGTAAGACTTCCAATTTCTAAGATCTAATGTCTTTTCCATACGGATTAATTACTGCTACAACTATTTCTAAATGTTAGTTCAAGCAGGTACAACCAGTCTCTTCAAGAGAACTTAATTTCCTATGTAGCTGTAGTAGCCATTCCTACGTATTGCATATTCTCAGGCAGGTTGAGTTGTTCTTTAAAGCTTTCCAGAGCTCCTCCTTTTATGAGAACATCCTTAAAGTTGAGAGTAACAGTCTGTTGCACTGTGTTTTGTTTGTTTGTTCTAAGCAACTGGAGAAAGAGCTGCTGGAAGAACAGCTTGAAGTAAACTCACTTCAAGAACTCACTACTTACCTGCTGCTTAAATCAGATGGTGATTACATTGAAGCTGATGAGAAGGTCCATGTCATTGGCAGGAAACTGAAACAGCTTATTGAACAAGTTTCACATGACTTAAAAACAATACAAGGAAATCTGGTGAGTCAGAGTTTAAATGCTTGTTCATGGATTTTCCTTACTGAAAAAGAATAACATATTAAGGGTAAAGGTATTTATGAAAGATGGACTTAAAACTTCAGTACTTCCACCTTCCTAAGCTGAAAAAAGAACAATTAAGTCTGCCTCTAGGAAAAACTTCGGCACCGCAAGGCTAGTACAGCATGGAAATGGATTGCCTAGAGAGGTTGTGCAGTCTCCATCCTTGAGGAGTTTAAAGACCAGATGGGATAAAGCCTTGAGTAAAGCTTTTAGTCTAGTCTCATAGCTGACCTTGCTTTGAGCAGGAGGTTGGACCAGATGGACTTCCGGAGGTCCCTTCCAACCTGAATTATCCCGTGACCCCGTACCAAGTCTCAGGCTAGGAGTTTGTAACGAACGCATAGGAGTTATAGTTCATCTCAATACATTGCTTATCCTGAGAGCTGTCAGATAGAGATATTTCCAAGTTAATGCCTGTACGTCCCTGTTCCATTGTAATTCCTTTGGGTTGCGCATAGTAAAACATTTCTTTGTGCTGGAGAACTGGAGCATCTGTTTACCACTGCTTATGCAATGGGCTGTGCACCTACAGAGAAGCAATGGAAGATGGCTCTTTACACTTCATCTTTTGTGAGTTTTGAATGTGCATTTTAAAGAGGAAGGTGTGGTTACCTTTTAGGATACCAGAGCATTCCTGCTAGTTCCAGATGACTTGGACTCAGGAGTCTATAATCCAGTTGCAGCGAAATCCAGCCCTGCTGTGAAGAAGGCAAGTTTTTTTTTCCTAATATTTTGCTATCACCGTGTAGCATATTTTGACATATTTAGCCTGGAAGTTCCTCAAATGTAATCATTTTACCTTTTAGATGCATGCACCTTATTGCAGAATTTACAACGGGGCTTTACAGTCTACAGCTGTCTTTGTTGAGAAACAGAAATTCCTTGTAGTTTCTGAAACCTGGGTACTAAAAGCTGTTTCTTTCAACAGATCACCATAAGGAGAACTGCAGATGGCAGAAACAGCAGCAGCACGAGGTATTATTTTATATTAGCCTGATTTCTTGAAGGATAGTGAAAATGGCAGAGGCGAGCTGAGTGCCAGCAGAAACCTGTGCAGCTGTACCTCATAGGTTGACATGCAGGTGGAGGTGACTTCTGCCTACCTGTAGTGTCTCCTCTACCTACCAGCTCTGGGCTGCACCTTGGTGAATGGTTTTCCTTTAGCACTCCTGCTCCTAGACCTCTGCACCCATGTGCAACCTTCGCTTGTCTTTACTCTTGAGAAACTATTTTTTGTGCCGACTGGGGGAACATTTTCATTTTAAATCGTCCTTTAATTCCACCAGCATACCTGGACAAAGAAACTTGCAGCTTAGAGCCACATACTACAAGCAGACCAGGAAGGACAAAGGGAGAACTTCACCCACCAATACATTAGGGTCTGACAAAGGGCAGATCCCAGTAATGCCAAGGCAAAGAAGAGCCTCATCAGTCTGAATGGTGGCTTTCCTTTGTCCTTCAACATGTGTTTAGAGTGGTTGGTTTGTCTGCTGGGGAAACGTACGTTTACATCTGAAAACAGGGTAGAAGCCCACTGAGCTAAGGTATTACCAAGAAATGTTTCTTCTTCAGTAGTATGGACAGTAAACCCAAGCCAGCAGCTGGCTTCCCGCTGAGAAGTCTTGCACGCTTTCAAGTTACAGTTAAAGTGTTTCGTGTGCAGTGCATTTTCCTGCAGATATGCAGCCCTGATTCTTGGAAGGGTAGTGGGAACCCTAGAGAGAGAGGCAAAACAACTTGTTTAATTCAAACTCTAAAGCTCCTTTTTTCTTTTTCTCTTTTTTTTTTCTTTTTTTCTCCTTTTCAGAGGTGAAAGCCATCCACAACCTATTCAAGCAATTCCTCGGTCTCCTTCCTTCTTTTCCCGTGTATTACGAGCAGCTTTACCTTTTCAGTTGTTGTTTCTACTGCTTTTACTTCTGGCTTGGATGATTCCATCTTCTGAGGAAGACTACAGCTGCACCCGGGCAAACAACTTTGCCCGTTCTTTCTATCCCATGCTGCGATACACCAGTGGGCCTCCACCAACTTAGAAAGCAGCCTGTGAATCTTCAGTTATACCAAAACACACTCTCAGCGGTGCTGTATATCTTGACAAAATTTCAGCTTTTTTTGTACGGAAAACAAACTTTTTCTATAGATTTTTAAACTGTAAGCAACACACTTTATACTTTGATGCAATAGATACACTATTTTATAGGTGCAGTGCTCTTAAGCTTGCAAGGTGATTGAATACTGAGTTGTTAGGTGCAGAAACTACATCACAGTCATCTTAAACACAGCAGTCTGTCTCAGGTTAGCACGACGAACAAGCAGTTGAAGAGGCACTTTGCCTAAATTAATCACTGTACACACTTCACGTTACCTGTATCTTTTGGTACTGCAGTCACTTGGTGGAAACAAAGAAATCTACATCTTTTTGAATCTTTGTTGTTGTGTTTTATTCATCTGACATGTTCAATAAAAGGATGCACATTTGTTTTGTTTTACATATAGTGTCCTAGTGGTTAGGACTGCTGTGTTGTCTTTTTATACCACCTTTGAAATAAATCATTGCATTGCATGGAAATGGTTTATAATGCACATATTTTCTAGATGAACGTGATTGTGTAGAATATCCCTGATGTATACAAGTAACATAATGACTTTGTTAATGAAAGATTTTTTCAGTTTTTAACCTGATGAATAGTGTACAGTATCCTGGGAGAGAATTGTGCTTTTTTATAAGCTTCAGCTTTAAAATGAAACCGACACTTGGGCAGTGGCTACGGAAACACTGTGTACAGGCAGCGTTGCCATTGCTTCTCGGTTGTACAGTTCAAGTACCATCATTAAAATTTTGCCAACGTCTGCGGGGACTGTCGGTGTGTCTAGCGGGGGGCAACCAGCCGTGTGTTCCAACAGTGCTGACCCTTCCTCCTGTGTAAGTCAACTTACCTGCATGCTAACACAACCGCGTCAGAAGCAGCGTAACCCCTCTTGCTTGTCAGAGCAAGCGTTTACGGACTCACAGGTGGAGCCTGCGTTGAGTGGCCCAGATCCTTTCCTTTGCAACTGACTGTAATTTCCTGAAGGAATAATACAGAGTGGAAGCGACTAGTGCTTATTACTAGTTTGAAATGCAGAATTATTCTACCCTAGAACTGATTTTCTAAACTGGGAGTTAAGGGAGTGCTGGAGAGGGGAAGTGCATGCGGAGGTGAGAGTGAAGGCTTTGGTGGAACAGTTCAGAATTGTTGCGTTTGGTTGCAGTGAGAATCACCCAGGAACTGGCCAGTTTCTGTAATCTTTGCCTACAGAAAAGAGGGTTTGTGATGAGCCTGTGAGAATTCTCCCATCTTTTCTACGCTTGTCACCACTGGCCGTCGCATATTGCCCATCTTCTGTCAGGGGGATTTATGAAGCACGTTGCTTTGTGTTCTTAAGTTCAGAGAAAGACAGTCCCTGTAGCAAACCGACAGCTTGTCCCCAACCATGGTGGCAAAAAAAAAAAAAAATGCCTGGTTTATTTCCAGGCTCTTAAACTAAACTAATACATTAACTGTGATACAGTTAAGCTTGCAAAGCAAACAGCATGGTTCAGGAAAAATCAAACCTTACAATTTGGCACTTTTTTTAGTAGTTGTACCATACAGTAGTTGTGCTCAAATACGGGTCCAGATAGCGCCAGCTCCACACGGAAGTGTCTCGACCTCAGTCCCAAGTAGCGGTGCCCGGGCTCCATCCTGCTAAAGACACGGGGACGTGGCCATGCTTCCAGACCCGGCAGTGCTCTCAGCCTGTAAGCCAGCCCGCGGCTCTGAGCAGCTCTGGCTGTGGAGCCAGACTTGCGCTCCAGCTACCGATCTCACAGCTACAGCTCGCGCAGTAGTGCTGTATCCGGAGATAAGCGATGGATCCTCCCCGCTCCTTGCCACACACGGACTCTCCTCTCTTCCTCTGCCATCATTATTTTGTATTTTGAAAGCAATTACTTTCAGATAGAGCTCATTTAAGTTTCTGTCTCTGTAGAAGTCAGCCAACTCTAACCATTATTTCATTGCCCGGTTGTCACAAATGCCCATGCAAACCTTTCTGCCAAGAACTAATAGTCAGTTGCTGACATGATATTCAGTTCTTCTGCCATTAAAGAACCTATGCAGGGCAAAAAAAAAATCTGAACAATGTTGAAAGGTCTAAAGAAAATTTCATAGCCTGCAATTTCCTTTCATTATGTACAGTTATATCAAATTGTTGAGCTGATGTAATATATAAAATGAGGAGCTTTCATGAAATTATCTCAAAATGTCACCAAAAAATAAGTCTGGGAAAAATAACTTAAATGTTTTTTCCCTCAAACCTATTTTAAATAGTTTTACTTCCAGCTGATTATAACCGCTGCATTGTAGGCTGACACTGAAGTCTGCTTCAAACAAGTCATTATATATACCCAGCAATTTCTTAGTGTCATCCGCTCGCTCAGGACTGGGTTGTTAGTGTTCAGTGAAGGGGGAGAAAAAAAAAAAAAAAAAGATTTAAAAAAAAAAAAATAGCAAGAGCAAGCACACATGTGCGTGCTTTTGCACATGCATTGTGTGTAGGAGTGAAACCAGGCCAAAACTAGTTTTTAGTTGAAGTCATATTTCTTCAGCAGGGAGATGAGACCTCAATCTATTTTCAGCTGTACCTAACCCCCCTCCAAAATTGTCAACAACAATTCTGCTGGCATGGGGAGCAGAGGACTGTTTGTTTATTACAACTTGCCCCCCCCCCCAGTTAAATTTGCCGGTCCCTGAAACACTAGGGCACAACTTCCATCGTCCGTAGTCACTTGGTGCTGGGAAACATCCTAAGCACGCGAGTACCTGGCGAAGGAAATCAGCCTACGGCTTTTGGGGCGACGGCGGGGGTGAGCGGGAGACCCTGACTCATGGACACCGAGGTCACACATTCCCTGTGCTCACAGAACCGGGCTGAGCTCAGCTACAGGGAAGAAACGACCAATAGGCTGTATAGTTAGCTGTTGTGATAGCTGGTTATTCAGCTGCAACACTCTACAACTGAGTGAAACGCACCGCGCTAGACAAATGGTGTGAGCTCACAGAACTATAGGGCAGCTGAGCGCAAGGTAGGGCTGGGGTTCACATGGGTATAAGAGACATGAAGTTCTCCAGAAGGCACCAACTTCAGTCCTAAACCCGTTGCCATTACAAACTTGCAGTGAGGGTGAAACGTTGAAACTAAACCCACATATAAAATAAGACTCGGAACAGAAAATTCTGGGGCAAATGGACGTAGGAAATGCGCAGTAATGACTGTTAATAGCTATGCCAGCTCCTCAGTACCTGACGTTGTGAGGAGTGAAGAAGGTTTTGTCTGTTCAGGCAGTAGCAGCCGAAGTTGGCATTTTTATGGTGCAGCAATCTTGGGTTTTTCATGCACTTAAATTGAAATCACTGACACTCAACAACTCAAGGAGTGTAGGTGAGTCCTACGTATAAAGATGGAAAGAGTTAAAAAATACCCAGATCATAAATAAAATGAAGTCTTAGCTAGGAAATGGTGTGCCACTTAACTCACCACACATCAGTTCAGTAGTAAAACACTGAAAAATGAATGTAAATAATACTTGCTTTCCGTATTTTCGCAATCCACTTGCTTTTCATGTTCCCGTTTACAATATGTGCTCTTCCATATTAGTTTGGGCACTGGGTCAGCACAGCAGATGACCACATCCTTAACTGCTTTGCTGAATCATTGTCTTGCAGGACATAAATTACATCAAACGATTTCTTCTGAGATGAATGATGATGATAGCAAAGGCATTTCCATGACATCCAGCTCTGAGCTTGCGGATCACAGGACCACACAGCATTGGAAGAAATGGTGCAGCCTACAGCTGGGCTGAGACTAAAAGCAGCTGCCACGGTGGTGACTGTCCTTGGTTGTGCTCACTTACAGCAGCCAGGAACAGGGTTATAAGCTACTCTGCCATCCAAGACACTGGACAGAATATATTGATACATATACTCTATATATATATCTCTATGATCAGTATTCAGCCCTATGAAACAGTTAATTCCTGTGAGAGGCCCTTAGACTTTAAGGCACCTCAGAGAAAGCCATGCAAATCCATACTTTGTTTTTAAGTTTGGCTCTCAAGGTAAGAGCAACCTGTCTCCCATGGGCACTTACCTTGGTGGGGAAGGGCAGGGATGGGCTCACTGTGCTATGATCGAAATAGCCCCATAATCACAACCGCATTTTTAATAATGTCGGTTAAAGCACATCCTAGGGAAGAGCAGCTATTTCATCAGTGCACGACTATTTTCTATTATTCGGACAAAGGAACAACCTTGGATGCACAAAAGCAGGCTCTCTGGGCCAGCTTTTAAAAATCATTTGGGTCCAGCTTCATGGGAAAAGCTCAGGCTTGCTTTCCATACAGTTAGGCTCCAAAGCCATCAGGGCACCCGGTGGCGGCAGCACCATTGTGGTTTTCAAGACCCCGGTCATGGCCACAGCCATTAGCCATACTTGGCACGCTCAGGCTTGAAACTTTTGTGCCAGTTTATGCATATATATTTTGAATCTTCTGCAAGCAATTCTAAATTACATTTGCAGGCTCTGATCCTAATAGGGGAACATCAACCACCCAGACATCTGCTGGAAAAACAGCACAGCTAACTGCAAGCAGTCCTAGTGCAGGTGATGGAGAGCCTGGCCAGAGGAGAAGCACTGTTGGACCTGTTGTTCACTAATGCAGAAGAAATTATCGGAGAGGTCAAGATTGGAGGTAGCCTGGGCTGCAGCGATCATGCCCTGGTGGAATTC